TTAGTCAGTTAAGGGTCTGACTCTTGATTTCCATCCAGGTCCTGATCTACAGTTGTAAGATCGAGCCCCACATTGAGCTCCACATTGTGGAGCCTGCTTGGGATTATCTCACTCCCTCTACCGCACGTGCTCTCTCTCCTGCTCTCTAAAAAATAAAAAATAAAAAATTTTTAATGGCAAATTGATCGCATATGTTTCATCCCGTCTTCCCCAAACTCCTCTAACATGAGAATAAATGGATTTTTAAATGTTATGGAGTCATAAAGACAAATACAAGGGAGAGAAGACCTCAAAAGACAAAATAAACTGCAGTAAATGGTTGAAAGAACCTAAATCAGATGCAGACTCGTAACTGACCTGGAAAAGGAGAAGAGTTTACACACTGCTTGCCTGGAGGAGAGATTATGGATAAGAAACAAGACAATTTTCTGTGCGTTAGCCTGGGCGACTCAGGCCTAAGAGGCAGAAATACCACCATAGAAGGAGGCCAGGTGGTAGGGTGAACACAGGGGTTTGCTTAGACGTCTGTATACCGAATGCTTGGACCCAAAGCTTCCTTCCCCACTGCCGTGCAATCAACCAACCATAAGTTCCTCCATCTGTTCAACCCAGCCTCCAGGAGATGAGAAGTTTGTTTTCTGGAGAAAGTAAACCAGAGTAATTTGTGGTTGATCAGATGAACACGTATTTTCACTCTGCTCCTATAGAAGATGAATTAAAAAGAAATTTATATGCAAGACAGGAAAAAAACTCTCAAAACTGAAAATACACTCAAAAAGTTTTTGAATTTGACAGGTTATAAGATTATGTTGAAAAATCTTCAGGAAAACAGAACAAAAAGCCTAGGGAAATAGAACAATTGGAGAAGGGAAATTTTTCTGACTAATGGGAATCCCAGAGAGTTCCAGAAAAGAGTTCTTTGTACCCAGAAAGAGTATTTGAAACATTGTTGATAAATGTGTGTGCAGTGGAGACTGGAAGTGTTCATCTGATTCCTTGTCCTCTTTTTGCTGAGCACCCAACTAGATTTCACTTCCTAGCCCTTTTCAGGGAGAGAGGCATGTAACTGAGTTCTAGCCAATGGTATGCGGGCAGCCGTGATGATGCTACTTCTAGGCCATTCCCAGGATTGGCCTATGAGACCCTCCATGCTTTCCCTTTTTCCTTATTAGTATCCAGACACAACGCTCAGTAAAGAACTCTGCAGCCTTAGAAGACAGAGCCCTGAGATGAAAGGAAAGCATGGCTCTGAATGATCCATACTGTGCCATCCCTGATGGCACAGAAGCCCCAGCCAGCTACCACACACATTGGACGTGACAGGGGCGAGAAATACACTTACACCATATAAAGCCACTGAGATTTTTGGACTTATTTGCAACAGCAGTTAGACTATTCTGACTGTTACTGTTTGAAAGATCATTCGTGAATAACTTAAAATAGATACAAAGTTTACAAAACAGATTGGAAAAAGAATATAACTAACTCCAGGGGGAGAAACGGCTCTGAGAGGAAAGATACATAATGATAATATACCACTTTGTTCCAACCTAGATATGATCAGAATCATGGGAACAGTGACAAGAGAGTAACCATGAACCACGATGTGAATAATAGTTAACCATTAAATTTTGGGGTGCCTGGGTGGCTCAGTTGGTTAAACATCTGACTTCAGCTCAGGTCATGATCTCATGGTTCATTTGTGCCCCATATGGGGCTCTGCATTGAGTGTG